GAAAATATTATATATTTTGTCCTACAAAAGTATTGAGAGAAGCAAGCGAATACTCGATTGTGTGGTTTAAGACTTTTGGGCGTGGCACCTCAAAAAAAAATTCGGCCTATGGCGGACATACCAGGTTTGCCCCCCCCAGAACCTCAGGCTGGATACGCCACTGCACGCGCATCCACGCTAAATTAGCATACTGGAGGCTGCTGGGGCCAGAACTATGGGTTATTTCTGCAGCACTCCATAGTTTTGGTGTCTACTATTAATCTACTATGGATAAATTTCAAAATTAACTGGGGTGCTGTGAAATACACCGGGTTTCCACGCGCATCCACGCTAAATTAGCATACTGGAGGCTGCTGGGGCCAGAACTATGTGCTATTTCTGCAGCACTCCATAGTTCTGGTGTCTACTATTAATCTACTATGGATAAATTTCAAAATTAACTGGGGTGCTGTTAAATACACCGCGTTTTCACGCGCATCGGCGCTAAATCGGCATACTGTAGATTCGGGCCTTACTTGTGTTTCGACTTATCCGTTGTGAGTATGGAAGATTGTGGTTTAGATTGCGGTTTTGACAAGACGTTCCCCTTTAAATTGCAAACTATCGACAAATCACTTCGACTGAATGATAAAATGTACACACTGGTCGGAGCCATACATTACATACCTTACACTCTACGTACAGGACACTACACTGCATTTTATTACAATGGTAAAAACTGGTACGAATACGATGACTTCGAAGAGAAGCGGAAACTGTGTCAGCCTGACCAAATCATAACGCCGCATGTTATGCTTTATGTTTCGATAAGTGATAAAAACACGACAAGTCGCGCAGCTTAGAGGGAGGAGACTTAATTGTAGTGGTACAAAAATTATGAGTAAATTGATTGACTAGTCATTTACATACAGCCAAAGCACAAATACCATACATAGATATGAGTGTATTAATCAGATACTATAGTATATATTCGACACCGGGGATTTTAAGTGCATCTTTATAATATGTCTACAATATTTCCATAATGGTCCGCTCTAACATATTATTATGGTAATAACTTCTCTAGACACGTTGAGCGGTCGTTAGAAGCCGGAAAAGTATAGAAAAAGTTAATTCGTTTTCATAACATTGTTGTATAGTTTTATTGAAATAATTCATTTTTATACAGTTATTGTGCGTTTTTTTATTATAACTCAAATTTTCATAAGCGGTCCCATACGTTGTTTGTATTAAGTCATTCGATAAAATTTAATGACGCTTTTCCCAACGGGGACTTCCTAGGTCATAAGGTTTTCTGAAACGGAATGAGTTTGCCTTTCTTGGTCACTTGTAACCAATTCACAGTTGTAACTGCTTTTCATGAGAAAAATGCTGATGAGGGTCCCAGAAAGGACAGAAACCTTGATAAATAACAGTAAGCACTGTGAACTGGCTACGAAAACCCAGAGAAGCATACTCACTCAAAATCGCGATGTGTAACATAACCTAAAATACAGAATATTAGTTAAAAATTTAGGACCAAACTGACGTCCACTAAAAAACCGTTTATACATTACATGACGCTTTTCCTGTCTTTTTTTCAACTATTTTAAATAGCATTCGCCACTTTTTATAGCGTCACGTAATTCATGAATGGCAGAATAATGTAGAAATTTGCACACGAAAACTTTGTACCTAGAAAATTTGTATCTAGAAAATTTGTACCTAGAAAAGTTCTGAAAAATGGATTTGAAGCGATGTATTTCTATCTCAGTATTTATTAAAAAAACTGTAAAAAAACGTATGACTTATTAATGTTCCTTTACAAACAGATTTCCCAACAATCACCTGTCCAGTTGATTGTTCGAACTGTACGATTTTGTACTATATAACCTACATGGAATTAATGAATTAAATAGTCTATGATATCTAATTTATGATGGAATATTATAATCCATATTATTCCTCAATTTTTGACTGAGATACTATGGAAGAAACGAGAACTACCGAACATCAGATTTTTTCTAATCAAACATGGTAAACGTATGGACAGATCATACAATAAGAAAGGTGAGGCTAAGAAAAAGGTAAGTAATATCTGCAATATGACATTCTGAAATTAAAAATACGCATGAAGTGCTGCTAAACTATGGAGTGCTGCAGAAATAACACATAGTTCTGGCCCCAGCAGCCTCCAGTATGCCAATTTAGCGTGGATGCGCGTGGAAACGCGGTGTATTTCACAGCACCCCAGTTAATTTTGAAATTTATCCATAGTAGAGTAATAGTAGACACCAGAACTATGGAGTGCAAACCCATAGTTCTGACCCCAGCAGCCTCCATACATCTCAACGAGCCTTCAAATGTATCGCGTAATGTCTGATGTACCGGGATGCCTATGTCTCGCAATACGGCTGGGGCGCCTCAAAACTTTTTCCGTTATATTAGCTTTATTTTTGCAGAACTATTCATAATTTCTATCAGGAACTCTAGAACTATACCCTTAGAACCGAAAAATCACTCGAGAACTGTTGCACTATCAAAAAGGGGTGCGGCGCGAAGTTAGCACCCCTTTTTTTGTTTTTTAAAAAAAAAATACTTAGGCATGAGAACTATTGTTGCACCCCTCTCAGAACTATAGAACTATCCTAAAAGTACTCAGAACTCCTGAGAAAATCAGGTGTGCTTGATTTTCGGGTGCCAACTTTGCATAGGTTTCATTAGAAGTACTTTGCACAAGTGATTTTTGCAGATTTTAATCGATTTTGCATGCATTAACGTAAGAAAAAGCTTCCAAATCTAGTTTAAAGCTTAAAATCATCTTCAAATTGACTTTTCCATAAAGAGGAAATTTCAATTTATAAAACCTGTAAGTTTCAAGTCACTGTGATCATTAGAAGTATTTTGCATAAGTGATTTTTGCAGATTTTAATCTTTACTCATGAAATGTACTTTCTACTCATTAATCCAAAATTTCATTCATTTTCAGTGGAACTCTAGTGAAATTTTGTAGAATTCCAGTAGGATTTCGTGAGATTCCGTTAAAAGAAGGAAAATTGAGAAAAATTGGAAAAAAAATCCATTTTAGAACACGTTCTTGTTACTATATAAATCTCTATGGATATCCTCTAGGGATCTCTAGGCATATCATTAGATCTCCATGAATTTCCACTGATTTTCGTGTATCTCCTCTGGACCTTCATATACATACATTAGTAACTTTTAAATTTCATATGGAATCAACGCGTTTTTGCTGTCAGAAAGTGGTAGTTTGATATTAATAATTTAAAGTAAATCACACCTTTTTAGAGAAAGTAAGTCGACGTAGATTATGTCACATGACAGAAAATAGATTATTACTGTCAAAGGACTGTATCGTAAACTCAGTATTACCTCTGAAGAAACAACATCTGAACATGAAATTAATGTTAACTTTTTTTTTAATAGTTTGAATATAACACACAGTTGAAATGATGTGCGATTCTACACGACTGCAGCCAGTTCTTGGATCTCTACGTATCTCTAGTACTCTATCCGATCTCCACGGAACTCCATGAGATTTCTATCTTATAGGACAGAAGATTTTCACACTGACTACCCCTTCGGGGTATCCTAGCTCTTTGATTTTTATCTTCAAATTTTCGAGCCTCTACCTATATCTCGAGGCCTATATGAAATATTGAGATGAAATTTTCAGGGATTAGAGCTAAAGTTCAATTTCAAAAAAGATTAATATAATTGACATTGTAACATTAATTGTTTTTGAAAAAATCGAGTTTGAAGTTTTCGAGCAAATTTCAGCTAAAACTCAACTTCAAAGCTCAAAAACTGAATAACAGTAGGCCTTCTCGGAAATACTGATCCGATTAATCCGATCATCAGCTGGTTGTCTTTTTTCTTTCTTTAATGAATACGATTGAAAAAAGGCAAAGGATATCAGCTGGTGATCCGGTTAATCGGATAAGTGTTTCCGAAAACGCTTACTGAGAACCATTGATATCAAATTTAGTTCAATGTATTGAATGTATAGAAATTTCAATGCCCTTTCAAACGATATATCGTTTAGGTCTATTTGTTTTGAAATAATTGACAATATTAGCAATTTTTCATAACCATGTCAGGATTTCCAAACATTCCCCCATATTCAAACTTGAGTTTTCTTTTGGAAATTTTGTCTCTGTTGAATAAACAATAGGATTGATATTAAAGTTGTTTCCGGCTAATTTCAACCTGTTTTATCGATAGTGAAAATCAAGAAAAAGTGGAACATAAAAATTTACTCACTTTTTCTAACTTTTTGAATTCTTTTCTTGAAATCTTTGAGCTTGTGTATCTCGGTACCCATTTGTTACATTGAGATGTACCTTCTTACTAAAACTATGAAATTTCAATTTTTTTTGTCAAGATTTTGTATCCTCTAATATCCTTCCAAAATTTTCCAAAATCTAAATCATAAGGTGGGTACCTTCTTACTTAAACGATGAAATTTCAAATTTTTTTTGTCAAGATTTTGTATCCTAATGGTCAATCAACATACCCCAAACTCCATACACTGAATTATTCTCAGATTTGAAGCCGAAATCTATGAAAAAAAGCACACAGAAAAATTGATGCATCACCCCAAATTGCTTAACACGATTTTATCTCAGGAACTATAAGTGCAAATGAGCTGAAATTTTCAGGGATTGTAGTCCCTTGATTGGGATAAAATTTAATGAAAGTTTCAGCTTTCTATCTATAATAGAAAAAAGTTATGACCTTTCAAAGTTTTCCAAAATCTAAATCATAAGGCCTACACTATGCTTTATAACTCGTGGCTCTAACAGTAGACATACTATTGCATTTACCATCTTGACGTGATTAGATGAACCAGACTAATGTGCCTGCTATTTTCTTAAGAGTTTTACCTGCATTTTGTAGATAGTTGTTTGTATGTCTAATGGGCATTTTTTCTTATATTGTATTTTTTGTGTATATTTAGTGTACCAACCTATTTTATAAAGATATATTTCAATTATTACCTTCAATATTGTGCAGTGACGAAACATAATGATCCACGGCTTCAAAATTATCAACATTGCATATAGATTGAAAATCTGACGCCACTTGATAACAGTAAACATAGGTTTTTTTCCTATTCATTTCGTTTCCAGTAAAATGCCAGCTCACCACGATTTTCGGTGAAGATTTGACAATGGAATATTGAATATCATCTGCAAATCTAAAAATGTTTTTTTAGTTAAATATCCAAAATTAGATGCCCAAAATTAACATACCCATTAATATTTCCAAGTTGCAACACCTTTTTCACCGATCCGTTATATTGTTTCATCCAAAAATAGACTACAGCGTAAACATTTGTGACGGGAACTTCTTGCTGATAGTTCTCGTGCTCTTTGGTCCACAGTTCGATGTACGCCAAACTGAAATAGCTGCAGGCGACCATTTCCAAGGATTCTTTGAGGGTGCAATTGTTGGGCATGGGTTGTCTTTGGATGCTGCCTTTGCTCGTCCACATATCCTGAGCGCCTGAATTATACACAATTATAATAAATATTTTAACTGCTAGAAATTTTCAAATTCAATCGTGTTCTGATTCAGAATGATTGTTTTTCTACTCCGTAGTACGTGTGTAATGTACAACAACTACAGAAATTTTGGAAAATATCGAGGAAAAAATTAACTTTGAATAATTATTTGCCCCTTTATTAAATATATGAAGAAACCAAGAAAATAACGTACCTAAAACGTTTCCAGGTGCTGACTGATACCAAAACGACACCAACAACTCCTGACAAAGTACCAAATCAAAATCCACATAAAAAATCTTCAATATTGGACCTTGCCCCGTATTTACAGTGATTGAATTTTGATTTTCCAGTTGCTTTTTAGTGTTGATCCATTTCGCGTCTTCTGTTTGCTGTTTGGCGTAATCAGTAAACTGGTCAGATGCTGGAGGTGAACTTGACTTTTCAGATAATTCTTCTTCCGAGTCTTCATCAGAAGTTTTTTGAATGTTGAGAATTTGTGAGTGAAATTCATGTTGTACTTCCGGGTCTGTTTGTATAGCGCTGTCGTGCCTCTCCAAAGATTTATTTGCCGTTGAAGGCGGATCAGATTCGTGAATACAAATCTTTTTTATTGTTAAGTTTGAGTTTTTTCTAGGCCAGTTTTTCAATTGTGATCCAAATGAAGTTTCAGGTTCAACCTCAGAACAACTGCTTTCCGACAAATATATTTCCGCAGGATTTTCTGGTTTTTTTAACAAGTTTATGTGTTCTTGTATAGCATTGGTTGCAATGTCAAAATCTTTCTCATTTATTGCTGAATTATTCTTCTTTCTTTTTGCTTGCCTGGGTTTAGGGGCAGATTTTGTTGAAGTATTGGAATTAGTGTTTCTTCCTCTTTTGGCAGAAGAAAGTCTTATTTTGAAGCCTGGACCTTTCACCTTAGACGCTTGTTTTGAATTGTTTGCCTTTCTCTTTCCTACTTTTGCTGGTTCATTAATCAAAGCCTGATCATTTGTCTTAGCAGTTTGTGTTAAATCCTTAATTTCATTGTTATTGATTATAGGCTCCATGGACCGAGTTTTAATGTTGATTAAATCATTTTCTTCAATTTCTTTGGCTTTTCCATTTAAACCATTTTTAATCTGAGCACCATTAAGCCTTTTATTACTCTTGGCCCTCCTATTAGATTTATTTTTAATAACGGAATCTATTAATGCATCAACTGAATTTCTTTTAATTGCAGGTCCTCTAGATTTACTTCTATTATTATTTGAATCAAATAGTTCTTCTTCTGTTCTAGCTGGAATATTTGTTTCCTTTTCTGCCTCTGAGAATTCAGCTGACATTAAATCTTCTACAGAAACATTTGATTTCCGTTTTACTGCAGTTCTCTTTGGTTTTCTATTTGCCAACTCTTTGAACCAATTTTCTTCTGCAATTCCATCAAAATCAATAACATCAATTTTGTCAGGCGGTTTAGGAGGGGCTTTATGCTCTAGTAATTTCTCTTCAGATTTATTAATTGAATCATTTTCTTGATCAGAAATCAATGTTCTTGATTTTTTCTCCAGCTCCTGCTGGGACAAATTCTTAATTCTCTTCGAATGTCTATTTTGTACAATAATAACGCTTTTTTTCTTATCAGTAGGCTTCATTAGTTGCAAATACTTGCAAAACTCCTTTTTATTCTCATTTTCAGGACTTGGCAATACAATGTCGCAATTGTCGAGGTCCTGTTCGATTATATTAGAAAATTTGCGTCGCCTTGTTCCAGGACTCAAGTCCATGAAACTTTTATTTATTTTTACCAAGATTTCAGAAATAGAATCCGAGATGGTGTAATACTGTTCCAGTTCGTCTTTGTCCTTTAGGAAATAGGTATTTGAAATTAAGTTGTAAGGAGGATCATTTTCGTTGTCGAATCCAGGAAAATCTGGGCTGCTTCTGTTGCAGTCTACTTCTATGGTGCTCATCCAGCTATTCACTTTGATCAAGATAGGAGGTGTGCGAGCAAAGTCCCTACTATCAGTAGTGCCGGTTTTCTTCCTATCGGGCACTTTTTTTTTTTTGGTTGATCTCCCAATGGCTCCGCTTACACTGGTCGAAGGAGTATCCATTATTCTACGTTCGTACTTAGTTTAGAAGATCTAAGATTCGTTGCCTCGACTAGAAAGACTTGTGTTATTTCAATTGTAACACGACTATTATTAGCTTTATTTAGGTACTAAAAGCAAAGATTAGCTAGCTCAAAATTACCTGAGTGATATGCTTTAAGCAACTTGTGTCCGTCACTTACATATAACACAGAATTTATAAATAAATCACATAAAAATTATTAACTGTTTATATTTTTATTTGATTATTTTGCTATGCCGACATTCCGACATTTTGTGAGCAGTTTGTCAACTGTCAATTCAAAAAATGTCAGGGACAAAAGTCAATATTACAATGTTGCCACATTTAATTTAAACTGTTCCAACCGGAACTGTTCCAGATTGTTCTGTATTTGTTAAACTCCCTAAAAACCGATAGAACTAGTAAATAATCGATTGGAAACCAATTCTGATTGAACCAGGAACCAAGAACTGTAGCCAAAAAGTATTCCCACTCAGATCAGAATCCACCGCTTAATTGTTTGTTAAATAGGTTTGTTCACGGATCTAATTCCGAACAGGTTTGGAACTAATTCAGGATTACCGTAGAGCGCATGCTTGTCTCTACTTGAACTTAAATATCACTTGTAATTATAATTCTGCAGCAATGCAGAAATTGAATGGGAATTTTAAGGTACCAGTCGTATACTTTTAGGTTCTGTTCCAAGTTCTAGCAGACATCAGAACCGTTCCAAAACCAGTAATTTCCAGTTGCCCACCTATTTTCCACTGAGATGAACCTTAGAGCAGGTAAAGGTAAAAGAGTAGTAACATGTGCTGCTTTCGGGTGCCACCTTTTGAGCGCTCCCGAGTTACTCCGAAGTACTCCGGTTACAGTTTGACCGGTTCGGCTTCAAGCGTTCGAGTGCAAAACGGGGCAATTCAATAGTTGTATTCCTTCCTTTCAAGAGCTTGGAACACTAGAGCTACTCGCTCCGGTGTTAGTCGACCTTCACACTGGGTGTGTCATTTCTAAACTCGCCCCTGTATTTTGGTGCCAAAAACTTGGCTTCACTAGCAGAGGTGGGTTCGGCTTGCTCACTCCGTGCACTCCGAGTGACTCCATTCGCCCTCCAGCCGTTCGGGCTAAGGTTCGGGTATTGCTTTTTACCGTATTAGGGGTGACTCCATTAGCTCTGTTCACTCCACTCCAACTCCGCGCTGAATAGCCGAAACCAAAGCTGTTTTTTCGCGGTGGAACTGGTTCGATTAGGTTCGAACCTGTACATTCTTGCGTTGAACCAGTGACATCACATTAAACCTGATTCAAAAAAGTTCGAACCGGACTCATGGCTTGTTCTCCGTTGACATAAGACTGTGGTTCAAACCTTCCATTTTCTCGCGTTCACAAATGGTAACGTCATCTAGAAATTGGTTTAAACCGTAGTTCGAACCATTCGTCCCGCGAGAAAACGCCTCAAATTACCGTTCTACAAGGGTTCTCATGACGGTTGGAATCAATGAACTATAACCAAAAACTGGAATGAGTGCACCAATCGTGCACATTGCCACATCCGCTAAAAAAATGAAGCCATTAAAGACGGATGCCACAAGGGGGAATGTTATCCTTTTCTGTTGCTCGCTGACATGTTACTTACTGTCCAACCGGTACATAATAGTTGTATTCCTTTCAAGAGTTTGAAACACTCGAGCTACTCGCTCCGGTGTTCAAGAGCCCCCGACTTGCAGGGAACAGATGCGTGGTACGACAAACACTTTTCGAAAGGAGCGCGTGAAGCCCCGGAGCTGTTCCGGAGCTCCTCCTAGGTGTGAAGGGAATACAACTAATAGGCTTTCTTAAATCCTTAGAGCCGGTAGAACTAGTTCAGAATCGATCCAGAACTGCATAGATATTCCAGAACCAATTCTAGTTGAACCGTGAACAGAAAACTAACTCAAAAGAAATATAGTGATCCATTGACGACCTAATTTGAACTAAGCATAGATATAGTTGCCAAAATACTGTTGGAAATGGGGTAGTACTGAATCGATTCGGAACCACATCACAATTCGAACCGATTCTGAATCAGTTTGGAGCTAATTCAAGAATGCTGTAGAACAAGTACCGGTCGAGTTCTTGGATTGTAAAGCCGGGCATAATTTGCAAATAGTTCTCAAATGTTCATGAATCCTTACCGCAAACCAAGAACACTACCTAATAGGACTGCTTATTGAGCTGCAAATGTCTGCCATTTCAGGTCTTAAAATCGACAAAAAACAAAGCGCAATAATCTGAATCGCAACCATCCAATCAAGGCCTGCGAGTGACGTCACGAGTATAAGCTGCTATGCTAATAGAGGTGAGTTCGGAATGGTAGAAAGTGTCGGCACTTTTTACATCAATTGACACTGTGGCGTTAGTTAATTGGTAGGATGGTTTGGTGTACACTTTATTTGCGTTTGGCAATAATTTGGTGTCCAAATGGTGTGAAGATGGTGGGACACCGTTTAAGGGTGGGTATTATAAAACTGCTCTGACAGTTAACTTAAAGTTAACTTTTTGAATTACATGTAATTCCAGAAGTTAACTTTAAGTTAACTCTCAAAGTAGTTTTATAATACCCGCCCTTAGCCGGAGTCTCATGCATCTGTTTTCCAACGAAAGATGTCCGAAAAACCTTCTATTCTGACATAATCGTATGAAAATATGTCAAAATAGAAAAATTTTCGGACATTTTTCGTCGGAAAACGAATGCATTAAGACTCGGGCCTTAAGCCTAGTACTCATAACTGCGAAATTCGCATTTTTTTGACATTGCTTCGACAATTTGACGTTTGATACACGAATAAAACGTCAAATTATCAACGCAATGTCAAAAAAATGCGAATTCCGCAGTTATGAGTACTAGGCTTTAGGGTGGATTTTCATGCATCCGTTTTTCCGTCGAAATACATCCGTTTAACATTCTATTCTGACATAATCGTATATAAATATGTCAAAATAGAATGTTAAACGGACATATTTCGACGGAAAAACGGATGCATGAAAATCCTTCCTTAAGCCTTGTACTCATAACTGCGAAATTCGCACTTTTTTGACATTGCTTTGACAATTTGACATTTTATACGTGAATCAAACGTCAAATTGTCAAAGCAATGTCAAAAAAGAGCGAATTTCGCAGTTATGAGTACTAGACTTTACTCGGTACATATTGAAGGTGTATTCGGTGTTACACCGCCGATTACACCTTCATCACGTAATATAACTCTGCACTACAGGAACACCGCACTAGCACTGAACTAAAATCCCATTCCGAACTCAACTTAGGTAATAGGTCTGTTTCTGCAGAAATCACAAATCAGTCAGAGCGAATTTCATTGGTTTAAAACAGCCAGGAAACTAGTTTCAACCAATGAAATTCACTCTGACTGGTTTGTGATTTCTGCAGAAACAGATCTGCGAAAAGTAGTGACGTCACTCGCAGGCCCTGTCGACGAGAATTGGCGAACATACGCCTCATGAGGATGAGGAATCCTGTTAGTTTACGATTCTTGTCTTGACCGCAAATTATGCTCTAGCTTTACTCGCAAAACACACTCCGAACAGTTATGGAAATAATTGTGAATTCAGAGATGGACTACTTCTTCAATTTAATTCAGGATTGTTGTAGAGACCATGCGCAACAACACACCCAATAGGACTGCTCATTGAGCTGAAAGTATGCAAACGAAAATATTTATTCAACGAATAGTTCTGAATCAGTTTGGTGGAAAGGCCATAGAACCAGTAGAACTAGTTCAGAATCGATTTGGAACCGATTCTAGTTGAACCTCAAACAAAGAATTATAATATCTTAGCTTTGTTCGCAGATTACATTCCAGATAATCGATCCAGAGCCAATTCTAGTTGAACCGCGAGCAAAGATCTGTAACTAAACATTTAGTGATCTGCCAAGGACATAATTTGAACTGAACATGTTAATTCCCATTCATCAATCCTCACCGCAAGTGAACGACCACAATAGTTGTATTCCTTTCACACCTAGGAGAAGCTCCGGAACAGCTCCGGGGCTTCACGCGCTTATTCCTTTCGAAAACTGTTTGTTGCACCACGCAGCTGTTCTCTGCAAATCGGGGCGACTAAGCACCAGAGCGAGTAGCTCGAGTGTTTCAAGCTCTTGAAGGAATACAACTATTACGAATTGATTCCGAACAGCTTTTGAACTAGTTCAGGATTGTTGTAAAGAACCCAATAGAGAACCATGCCTATACAGCGTGGGCAAAAAGAATGGAACACGAGGGCTCGACAAAACTATTTGTTTTTTGAAAAATCGCAGGGACCCGTCAATACACAACTAATAGCAAGTCACTCCGATTGCGTTACTCCAGCATCAACTTTGTTATTTCAAATGACGATACTGTATATCATTGCATTTTTGGATTTTACGAAAAATTATGGAAATATTAGCCGCTCTCCAGCTGCTGTGGTCAGCTGCATAAGCAAAAGCCCGCGGAATCGTAACCTGTGGTGCAAACAGCCCAAGGATGATTAACACTACTACTACAGAGTAAATACATGATGAGGATAGCCTATCCTCGAAAGGCCTGTGTGTAACAAATCCTCCCCTTCCCCCCAAAATACCAATTGTGACGTAGGCGTCATGTTATTTCTCGCCTTGTCATATGCTGTTTAAACAGCTGACAACTTAGCGCCCCGGAGCTGTTCCGGAGCTCCTCCTAGGTGTGAAAGGAATACAACTATATCTGCATCTGGTGGGAGGTACAGAATTCCGAGCTTCGTTCACTGTTCCGGGGCTTCACGCGCTTATTCCTTTCGAAAAGTGTTTGTTGCACCACGCATCTGTTCCCTGCAAATCGGGGGCGACTAAACACCGGAGCGAGTAGCTCGAGTGTTTCAAACTCTTGAAAGGAATACAACTTATGACAATCCACATTACTCGAACTCTTGGTTATTGGAACATCCCTGGAACCGGCAAACTTGTTCAGAATCGATCCGGAACCGATTCTCTTTGAACCGCGAACAAAGAATTGTTATTTAAAAATTCGAACTACTTATTTATCAAGATTCCAGGAAGGATAATCGCAGACAAATCTGGGGGATATTTGAATAAATTGGAGCTACTTTTGCTTATTAATATACAATGTTTTGAAAAAACTGTTTTGGCGCCAAAACAGGTTAAATTTCAAATTGCATTCCAACGTTGCCAAAATTCTTTGCGCGGTATATTTTCAAATTTTTTCCCACTCTCTTACAATATTTAAATTCAAATTATTCTGAACTCTTATCTTATTTTATATTAATTGTCTTGTCTTTTCATATCTAATTATCTTATTTAAGTTTTTTCTTTTTACAACTGTTAGATTTAGGTTATGTTAATTTAAATGAAGCAAAGTCCAACAAAATAGTAGTTATTGCAAAATAAAAATGTTGAAGACAATGCAATATCGTTGCAAAACCCTTCTATTTAATCCTCCTATCAAAGTAAGTCGATATCCTGTAAAATCATACTCTTTTAATCCCAAAATTCCAGAAGGCAGTTGAAAGATTCATGTCAGATTACCAGTTTATCAAGACCGATTTTGCCGATGAAGTTAAGAACATTGTAATGTGTGACCCAAAAACTAGGTAGAAAGATTTAAAAGTTCCTATTTAAAATAAGATAAAAGAAATTTGAAATCGATATTTGGTTCGGAAGCAAAGTTATGACATTTTTTCTAATTCTACTTGGAACATTTTATGAAAAATTGTTTTGACAAATAAATAAAACGAAAATTAAATTAAATGAAAAACTATATTTAATTAAAGGTAATACATAGTGATATAAAAACTTAAAACTCAAATTCATGAGACACTATTATTATGTAGGTTTTGAATACCTAATCAAAAAATTACTTTATAGTAAATCAGATTTGTCGCTAAATCAAACAAAACTCACATAAAAAAGATTAACAGTAGGAAAATAAAAGAAAAAAAGAAACAAGATTTGCTTTGCCTATTGAAATTTGAAATAGAAATACACTTATAATATGACTAATCAAAATAAAAATTGTAGTACTTCAAAGTGACATTTAAGACAGCAATAATACAACTAATCACTATCATCAACAGCACTCAATTCGTTCCAGTGCACCTCCACAACCTCCAAATTACTCTTGAATTGAGATTTCACATCAACTTTGAGGGGGGCATAAAGCTCTCGGTCCAAGGGAGACCAACCAGTGTACTGAAATAAACAATTTAAAATAAACTGTAAATTTGATTTTTAATTTTTACTTACAATAGGAGTGATTCTATGTTGGACTTTATCGCCCTCATCAAATGCTTCAAATTTTTGCAATATTGCTTTTCCATCAATCTTCCAAATGACTGGACGCGCTTGAGGTCCACCTTTGATATCTTTTTTGAGTATGACGAATGAGTCGGTTGCAAAATCTTCAGAATAAATTGTTTTTGGAAGGGGTTGTATAGTTTTCGATTTGTCAGAACCAGATGAACCTTCATTATCTGAATTGTCCTCTTCAGAAGAGTCTTCTTCACCTTCACTTTCATTGGTAGCGGCTTTAGCTGAAGATTTAGCTGCGGGTTTAGTCGCAGCTTTCTTTTGTCCAGGTTTTTTCTTTTGTGGCTGCTCCTCTCCTTTGAAATCCCCATCAGACCCCTCGCCATCTTCATTATCCTTGCCCTTGGGGCCGGCCTTTTTGCCTTTTGGTTCTTCCTCTGAAAATTCCCCCTCATCTTTATCTTCTTCATCATCACTGTCTTCCGCTACTCGCTTCGCTTTCTTAACCACCCTGGCGGGCTTTCTTCCCGCCTGAAAAACGCATTTTAGCACACCACAAGCCATTAATGCATTTATTCAACTTACCTGACCATCCCACTCGTCTCCGGAACTTTCAAAAGGTTCGGGAGCGTCTTCGTTTTCGGATTCGTGTTTGCGTTTGGTACTCATTTTCTTTACAAGTTAAATTGAAATTTTTGGAAACACTTAAAAGAACGCCGCGCCGGAAAGCGAAACACCACACGATATCAAACAAAACAAAATGGCAAATAATTCTAGGTTACGCTACGATTGCTACGCACGACAAGAAGCAAAGAGGAACGTCAAAGGAAATGTGGTGATCCCGCTTGAATTTTTCTGCCAATGACGTTGCGGCATTTGAGTCACGTGACGCAAATTCTGTCGGTTGCACGCAAGTCGGTCTTTTCAAAATTGAAAGCGAATGCCGAATAGCGATTTCAGCATTTCTTGCGAAGTGCACTCGGTGCCGTTTTCATTTTCTATTCGAAGCGCCTTCAACAATTTGCGAATGACCCAGAATCTCTTTTTAACACTTTGATGTTATTGTGTTAATTATTAATAACTGTATTCCTTCTATACGTCGAGTTACACCGAACGTGTCGCTCTAGAGCTTCTCGGAGTCACTCCAAAACACACATTCAGATATTATTCTTATTAATAAAACCCTAAAAGGACTTCTTGAACCCCCTGCAAATTTGATGCATCAGGAGCAAGGAGGATGTATTATGAGCGACTCGAGTGCTTAACGCACTTTAAAAAAAAACGTTAAGCTTTTGATAAGAGCAGCTCCGAGTAGACAACGTGTGAAAGGAATTCAGCAGCGGCAACGTTGTTGCTGGTGTGGTCTGTCGTCTGTCATTCTTCATTCGATTGAATGGAATATTTTTATCCACACCAAGGGCGCGTTCAGATTGAAGAGTCTGGGCGACGTCCAGTGCAGAGCGTACCCGATAGAGAGTGCACTCCGAGTGTGCCTGGCGATTCGCCCAATCTGAACGGCCAAGACGCATTCTCTCCTCATAACATCACTATTTATGGGATGCTTTGATTTTGATTTTGTTGCCTTTTCAAAATTCACGGTGTGTTCGTGATTCTAACAATTTTGTAAAATAAGAAAAAAGAAAATTCAAAGATAATCAACTCTTATTTTATTTTATTTTGATTTTTTTTGGTAGAACTATCACATATAAAATAATACCTCTTAACCCTTAATTCTTATTTTAATTTATTTCTTATTTTATTTTATTTGTTGGATAAACTCACCATAACTCCCAACAACAATATTTACAATATTTGCCTTTATTATTGTTAGAACATAAACATAACACAAACGCGCATGCGGGGCAAATTTTATCTTACTATTTTATGGGATGCAAAAGTGTGTGTCTGGGTGTCGTCAGGTAAAAATCTACTGACAATCTGAACGGCTGGGTAAATTTTACCCAAGGCAATCTGAACGGTCAGAGCGCGCTCGGGCGACAACCGACGTTCAATCTGAACGCAGCCCAAACCAAACACAAACGTCAACAAACCTCATAACCAAAAAATTTAAATTCACTTAAAATAAATAAACAGACATAAACAATTAAAGAAATGAATTTGGATCTATTAGGTAAGTACCACAGAGCCTGTTTTAGTTGAAAAATTGAGCCACCTTTATTGTTCTTTTTTTCTTAGAATCGTTTGGTCAAAACTACCCCGAGGTAAGTGCCTCTATTCTTATTTGTTATATTATGTTATAGCTGGATTTATAACTTATATATTCAGTACGTAGTTAGCTGCGCAATTTTCGTCTGTCTCACACTCTCTCAAGTTGAAATTTTGTTTCTCATTGATTTCTACTTTTAACCTTGACCAACAAATACGGAATTTGTGGCTTGGTAATGCCCGTGTGCACGGGTTCGGCTTTATATGTGAGCGGAGCTTAATTTATAGTTTGGTTTGCAAAGGTGGCGAATATCAACGTAAGTGGCGTTTACCTGTGTTAAAGGGTCGTTTTCACGGTGAGAGTACTCTCATGACAGCGCTCTCATGATAGTCACCTCGATAGTCCTATCGTGAAAGTGAGGTGTCTACACCTACCAAAAACTATCGTGACAGTAATCAATAGCAAAATGGCCGATACGCAGTTAACTGACGCGGTAGCTGCTGTAATTGGTGAAATAGTTAAAATTAAACGAAAAAGAAATAAAAAAACCAAGAAGATATGGGTGAGAAAATGGATTGCAAGAAGGAGGACACTTGGTGCTTCAGAAATACTTCTCAAGGAACTTGCTGTAGAAGACCCAAGAAGTTTTTTAAACTTCTTACGCCTGAATGAGGAAATGTTTAATACGTTACTGAATAAGGTAAGCAAATTTTGAAGTGATATAAAAGCCGTTTAACTAAGTACCTATGTTTTTTAAAGGTTAGCAGCAAGATACAAAAGAATAATACTGTTATGCGAGAACCTTTATCAGCAAAGCTAAAACTTCAAATAGCTTGTCGATATCTTGCTACTGGCGACTCACTGGGATCTTTGCAGTACCTTTACCGAGTTCCAAAATGTACCATAAGCCAGTTTCTACCAGACGTCTTTGATGCCATATACGAAGTGCTGAAAGATTATGTTATGGTACGTTCGTAATCATTAATTAACACATACTAATTACCTAATTTATTTTTATTATTATAGTTATTCACAACCCTAATTACCTATAATATGTCTTTTATAAAACAAAAAAAAAAATACAAAAGAAACAGTATATTTCATAAAAGTTTTAAGCATAAGATAGGTAGGTATCTATTCTAAATAAAAATCGTAACTATCTTCATCATCTCCAGTCCAATTCTTGAAAAAATTCATGAGGCGTGGCTCTGGTTTCTGCACCTCATGCAGGCTATGATATTGTTCATTTCCTGAAGAATTTGACGGCTCTGTATCTTATTGTAGATCCCTTACTGAGCTAGAAGTGGCCTGTGTTTCATTGTCAGATGAACTCTGCGTTTGCACACAACGTAGGCGAACATTGGTTATTAGTTTCTGGATATCCTGCTGTAGTAATATTGCATCTTGTAATGGAAGGCACTTAAGTTGGGAAGAAACATGTTGTCCAAAGGCATCAAATTCATTGGAAGGAACAGACGATTTTTGGGATGCCACCTGTTTCAGAACTTTCACAGCCTGGTCCAAAGAATCATCCTCCTTATTTATTCCTTTACTCGCGGGCCTTTTGCCACTTGTCTTTGTTTTTCTCGTTGACGAAAGGGGTTTCTTCACACTCCCTATAGGCTCTTGTGTCGACTCTTCATTTGCTGTTCCAGGCCGTGCATTGAAACTTTTGAAACTTGTCTGTGTATTTCTTACTGGGTTGACAGAAGGGGTTTCTATATGCTCCCCTGGCTCTTGCGTCGGTTCTTCATTTAATGTTGCGGGCTGTGCATTTGTCTGATTTTCTTCTGGAAATTGCTCTGGCAACATCTGCAACAAAAACAATAATAAAATATTATTTTCAATTTATTTCAATTGCTAATAATAATAATAATTAATAAATAAAATATTATTTTCAATTGATTTTTCTTTTCCAGGTACCACAAAGTGAGAACGAGTGGAACAAAATTATAAATGGATTTGAAACTTGCTGGAATTTTCCCAAATGCATAGGAGCAATTGACGGTAAACATGTTATGGTCCAGTGCCCTGCTAATTCCGGTTCACAGTACTTTAACTACAAAGGCACGTTTAGCATTGTACTGCTGGCAATGGTGGATCATAATTATAATTTTACTTTTATTGATATTGGGAGTTATGGCAGCATTTCAGATGGCGGAATATTTGCTAAGTCCTCTCTTCAAAAAGCGCTTGAGGGAAATTTATTGCATCAACCTGACGGATCCGTTATATTAGGAGATGAAGCATTTCCACTTAAAACATATTTAATGAAGCCCTATCCCCGACGAAACCAAGTAACTATTGCACAGAAAGTCTTCAATTATAGACACTGTAGAGCGAGACGTGTAGTAGAAAACGCTTTTGGAATCATGTCATCTCGTTTTCGTGTATTCAGATCCCCAATATCACTTGCTCCTCAAACAGTAGTGAAACTAATAAAAGCTGCATGTGCCTTGCACAACTGGATACGAAAAGTGGGAAATGATGTAGTAACAGCAGATATTGAGGAACATGCAACAGGTCAAATAATTCCTGGATCCTGGCGCAATGATCCTAGACCAAATGGTGTCGTTGATGTAAGAGCAGCTTTGCAGCGTAACTATTTGCCAGAAGCTCGACAAAGAAGAGAAGACTTTGCTGACTATTTTACAGGGACAGGAGCACTCGATTGGCAGTACAAAATGATAGAATAACAATCGAGAGAAGACACTGAAATAAATAATTTGACTACACTTCTTTCAATATTTATATAATTTAGGATGTAAATAATTGCGAAACATTAAATAAAACTTACCAAATTAGATTCTGAGTCATTTTCTTCCAAATTGTGCCTTAGAAAACTATCAGCTACGGAGAACCATATAAGTTTTGGTTTATATACGTAATTAGCACCCGTTCCAGTTCCCATAGACTTCTTTATTTTTGCCACTTCTTGATTATATGTACATCTAATGCTCCTAATTTTCTGCCTAAGTTCTTTAATTGTAGAAAGTCCTGATAAGGGCAGCAGAGTTTCTTCTGCATGATCCCTCTTCACTCTGTTTTTGAAATCTGCCGAGCTTTTCTTCCATAAACATGGAAACCTCTCATATTCTTCCAGAAAATGTATAACGTCAAATCCCTGCTTAATTTTATCAAAATAATTTCCGATATTTTGATTTTTCGCCATCGTGCCGCTATAAAAAATCACTACTTTCACGAAAGTATTCCCAACTATCTAGTCAAGCGAGATAGTGCGACAGCACTGTCGCGACAGCATGATAGCTACTATCGGGTTGTTTACATGGAAAACAGAAATATTCAAGATAAAAGTAGGTATTAAAATACATTATTGGCTATTTAAATTGTCTGCCTTGAAATGGAACTTCTTCGGGACGACGAAGAAGATGAAGAATTAGAATTTGTGATAAATGGAATTCCAAGAAGAATTTTTGAAAGAATGGATTATTTCAATAGTTTCGATGAAGATACCTTTCGCAAACGGTTTAGAATGTCGAAAGATACAAGCCTTTTTGTGCTCAATCTTATTGAAGGTGATATTGAGCATCCATATGATTTGTGAGTTCATATAAGTACATACATACTACATACCTATTTTTATTATTACAAAAAAAGAAATGTATGGTGATATATTCATAAACTTTGGTTTTAGTAATAATAGTGTTGCACCTATAAACCAATTACTGGTTTTCTTACGGGTATGTGCAACTGGAAGCCATTTATTTATTTATTTATTTATTTATTTATTTATTTACGGGTAACCCCCATTAATAGTTATAATATACAACAAAAATGGTTATGACTCTAGATTGTTATGAATTAAATCTAAAAATATGTATCACTTCAGAGTTTCATTTACATACTAAAAAGTAATCCTATACAAATGATTTCGAAATTGAGACAAAGTTAAACCAAATATTTCTATGTGATAATAATTAATTAACTTACAATATCTATCTATTGGTGAGTTTTGACCATAGTTAGTACGATGATAGGGAATGTTAAAAGACACAAAATCGCCTCTTCTATTTCTAGTCGGTGTGTCTATATTTATGCATAGCAGGAGATCAGCAGAATCAATCATACCATTGACCAACTTGCAAACAAAAATCATTCCAGCAGAGTTTCTCCGATTAGAAAGGGTTTTCACTTTCAGCTGATTTTCAATGGCAGCATAATCATGATCAACAATCACAAGTCCTAATCTGAATGCACAATGTCTTAGAAATTTGTGCTGAATCTGTTCAATAGTTGCTTTGTGAACTGCATGATATGGTGACCATACTACTGAAGCATATTCCAGCTTCGAACGCACCAAAGAACAATAGACACTCCTAGCAGTTTCAAGTGAAAAGTTTTTACAGTGTCTTAAAACAAAACCCAATAGTTTAGACGAACTCACTGTGAGATTGTGAATGTGACCTACAAAACTCAAACTTTCATCAAATAATACCCCCAAATCTTTAACCTTGGAGACATAAGTCAGAGTTTCGCCATTTAATGTATAGGAAGTGTCAAATTTTTTCTTGCCTTTGAAAAAACTAATAAAACAACATTTGTTGACATTCAGATAAAGCTTGTTGTCTGTGCACCAGCCCGTCAGCCTGTCAAGATCGTCCTGCAAAAGCCGTTGATCATCCATACAATTTATGATTCTATATGCTTTAAAATCATCTGCAAATGCCAGCCCGTCACTGTTCTCAAAACACTCAAATATGCTGTTAACAAAAAGATCAAAAAGCAAAGGAGAACAGTGGCCCCCTTGGGGAACTCCTGAGGTGACATTAACAGTATCTGATTGAAAAGAACCAATTTTGACCATCTGCAGGTGACCCGACAGAAAACTACTAGCCCACTTAACTGATTTGATACCAAAGCCCATATTGAAAAACTTCTTTAAGAGTATCTGGTGGTCTACCCGATCAAAAGCTTTAGAAAAATCTGTATAAATCGCATCAACC